TAGCTATTGAATATTATTTGAATTATTTGAGTTATTTAATTTGTTATTGAAATTAAAATCTAAAATCGACTATTTCATATATGCATTAAATATTATTTATTCAAAAATCAGTAAATCAAATTTGATTTTTGACTAGTTTTTCATAAGTATCTCTATTTTTATATTTATATAATAATTCTATATAATATGTAATATCTATATAATAATTAAAGAGAAAAATTAATTGTTTTTCTAGCTTGCTATAGGTGGTTACGATAATAAGCAACGGATACTACTTGAAAAGATTATAGATCAAATGATAAATTTTAAAGTTGATCCAAAAAGATTTGAAATTCTAAAGGAAAATGTATGTACAATAAAAAATGTATGACAAGTTTTTAATTTAATTGAGATATAGCATTTTTATAAAAAATCATTGATAATTTACAGTATATTAGGTATTTGAAAAATTTCGCTGCAGATCAGCCTCATGAACATGCACGTTACTATCTTAAAGTCTTACTGACAGAGCATGTTTGCCTTAAGGATGAATTACTAGACTCAACTACTTGTAAGAATAAAAGACAACTTACATGTTCTTTTTTTATTTCATTGCAATTTTTCTTTTTTAACTTAAACCATAGCAAAACGACAACTTTTCTTAATTATATATAATTGAAGTTTATTTAAATAAATCTTAATATAATGTATAGATTTATCTGTGGAGAGACTCCAATGGTTTATACCGCAGCTATATAATAAAGTTCATGTGGAATGCATAATACACGGTAATGTGACTAAGCTAGAAGCCATAGATATAGTTAAACTAATTGAATCTAAATTGATAAATAATGTGTCTCCCCCAATACCTTTGTTGCAAAGGCAACTAGTATTGAATCGTGAAATTAAATTAGAAGATGGTAAGTATACGTAACAATCTCATTTAGAACAAATTTGAACGAATGAGTGTAAAAAGTACCAATTTAAATTAGAACAGAAACATAATTTTAATATAAATTGTTTTAATATTTTAACTTTTTACTTTTAATAACTTCTATTTAAATTGTTTATATTAGGATTAATATGTAGTAATAAAGAAAAAGGATAACTTTTATTTTATTTGTAATTTGTAATGAAATTTTTGCTTCAAATATTAAATGTTCCCTCCGTTCCAGTCTAATAAGTTAATATTGTTCATATTATACAATACGCAACATTATGTAATTATTGTAGGTTGTCATTTTTTATTTGAAATAGAAAATAAGATACATAAGAGTTCTTGTACAATGATATATTACCAGATTGGTTTAGAGTCAACAGAGTCAAATATGCTCTTAGAACTCTTGATGCAAATTATTTCTGAGCCTTGCTACAACATTTTAAGAACTACAGAGCAATTAGGCTATATAGTATTTAGAACTATATATAAAACAGGTGGAGGAGCGCAAGGTCTGCGAATTTTGGTTCAAGGTGACAAGCCTCCACAATATGTAGAAAAAAGATTAACTCCTTTATGGACTCCATGTTGGTAAATAATATTTATTTATATGATAATAATAATAAAATAATATGTTAATATATTAATTAAAATA